TTTCGAAGAAAAAAGGAAAAAAAAAATTTGTTTTCAGGACAAGATGGTCTTTTGATTAATGAAATGTGAAAAATGTGAAAATATATATTAAAAGATGACACTTTTGCACATGTTGCTTTTAAAAGTGTTTTGCAATTGCCCGAAAAATTATATACTTGATATATTAAATTTTGAATTTACAATAGCAGTATATTAACTTATATACTGGTTTTGATGTATGTGAATAAAATTAATGATAATCATGATAGATTATAAAAATCACTATAGTGCATTTCCCTTTTCTGAAGTATTTAAAGAAAAATTTCAGTTATTAAATTTTGTTTAGCTCAGAATAGTTTTTAATAAATTAACGACTTTTGAGAAGTGATATAGCACATCGAAATTTTTGTAATCGATCTACAAAATCAGTTGACAAATCTTATAAAATTTCTGAATAACAAACCGGCCATTAAATCATATTTTACATATTTAATAAAAACAAAGCTATTTAAAATATGATATAATAAAAACAAAGCTATGTAATAAAATTTAGCAAATGCCTTATTGGTCCAGAATGGCAATGAAACATATGAAAAAGAGTGGTCGGGACGTGCGGAAGTCATGCAGACAATTTCATATCCAAATAAGCCTTGGCATTGAGGCTTTCAAGTATATCAGATATCCGGTTTAATTAGGTAACCAAACACACGATTTTATGACGACATGATTTTATTGGGTTTCAAAAAACAAGTATTCAAGTTTTCCTTTTTTTAATGAATTTAAAGTTTTATTTTGGTTTTACGAGATATCATATGGTGCTAATACGAAAATTGTGAAAAAAACTAGGATAGGAGAATACATTTGCAACAACAACAGAAATGAAGGTTGATTACCAAGTTCATTTTTTCTCTCCGTGAAGTTATAATTTACTTTGGCTACCACGTCGTATTTAGCAGTATGTTACTTTTCAAATATAAAAAATATTATCGACAATTTATGTTATATATCATTTAATATATATATGAAATTTATGTTATAAAAACTTATTATAAAAAAGCTTATTATATCTATATATAATGATTCATACATGTTAGGAGATCTCGGAGATGATAAGATCGCACTGGAATATATTTTATATGATTTAGGAAAGTTAATATTTGTGTACAAGGTAAATTTCATATTTTATATAAAGAATTTACTAGAAAAATTATATTTTGTTTAAATAAGCCTATTGGCTAATCAATAAAATTGAAAGAAACAATTTCACTTCTAAAGTTTCTTTTAAAATCTATCAAGGTTTTCTCCAAACTCTATCATGTTAGGAGATCTCAGAGATGACGAAATCGCCCTTGAATATATTTTTTTATAGGATTTAAGAAAGTTAATATTTGTGTACAATGTATATTTCCTATATTATATATGTAAAAAACTTGCAAAAAGTTATATTATTGTATAAATAAGCATATTGGTTAATTAATAAAATTAAGAGAAACTATTTTACTACTATGTTTCATCCAAATCTATCATAGTATCATAGAACCTTGATCCAATTCCCATAGATTATGGTTTTTCGTTTGCTTCCCCTATTTAAAAAAAAAATA